AAAAACCATGTTTTTTAGTTCTGTTTACATTGTAAAGTTCATTTTAAAACTTTTTTCAGTCTCATTATTCTTATAAATGCCATAATAGGAAAAATGCTATAGCAAAGTATTGATATTTATTTTTTAATGTCAAAAGTTTTTATTGATAATTATTGATGCTAAAATATCACTATGTAGTTACCTAATTATTATTATTCTGACTGAAGATTTGCTGGGTAATTTTAATTTTTATATATGTTAATTAATATAATGTCATATTGCAACTATTTTATAAAAAGGGCAGACTGTTCTCCTTACATTTAGTATCAGAAAAGCATGATTGAAACATAAATAACTTAAATATTTTTCTTAATGCTGTGTGTAGTTTTGCAGTTTTTATCAGTATTAGCTATTCATTTTTCATTTTTCCTCTCAAATATTTTTTAGTGTTTAATATACTTAATCTTTATATCATATTATATGGTATAAATTATTTTTCTGCTTTTGTCCTTTTAGGCTCAACCAATCACACCAGAACTTGTCACAAAATTACTGGGAAATCGTGTGGCTGTTAGTCCTATAGTTACAGTTGAACCAAGGAGAAGAAAGTTTCATAAACCTATTACTCTGACCATACCAGTTCCTCAAGCTGCAACTAAAGGCATGATAAATCAATACAGCGGTGATGCTCCCACACTGAGGTTACTATGCAGTATAACAGGTAGTACCAAGACAGGTTTGTTCTCCTTTCTGCCTGCTATTGCTCTTCAGTTGGACAGTAATATTGAGCATATCTTATGTAATATTCTAAGCAGAAGCTTCTAAAAAATTTGGATCCTAATGTTACATTACTTTATTTTGCATTTATCATCAGTGCAACCTGGCAGGTGTTACCATTACATGAAACATAATATTCTCAAATTCTCTTCCATGCGATCTTACCTTCCCTCTCCCCCCAAAAAACACTTTGAATAATTCTTGTTAACAATGTATAAGACTTTTATTCCATCTTACTAATTTAATCAACATATAATTTCTGAGCAACTTCAAAATTTTAAAACAATAAATGAATTTTTTGGTAAAATGTGAATATTTATTTTATATTTTAATAATAAATTTAATTGATATCATTTAAAATAAATTTAGTTTGCAATATATCCAACTGATAATTTTCATGAGCATTTGCAGCTTTGTTGTAATTAATGAATTGGCACAACTACTATATAAAACAAACGATCCTTAATCTATCTTCCATACACTCTTGCACATAGCTAATTCTCAGAGAATTGCCATTCGACGAAGCATAATATCTTAAATATATCTTTTAGACTAGATCTATCTGTTGTTATCAAAATGAGTGATTTAAAAGCTTGTGTTTGTTATTATCAAAATAAGTGGTTTAAAAGCTATAAATGCAATTTTTAATAATTTAAATCTTTATTATACTTTTTTAGTAGTGTGTCTGATTGATTAAATCTTAAATACACGTAATTTATACTTTTGATACATTTCCAGAATTATTTATTATTGTTTTGGCGTTAAAAATTTCTGACATCATTGCAATTAGCAAAAGATGTGTATAATGTCATTAGATACTATGTTATACAATTGCATTATTTTTTATTTTTAAGATTAATGGATAAGTTACTTTATACATTAATTACATGAATTGTTTAAGAGGTCTGAGATTTAATGAAAGCATTTTCCCCTTTACCTTAATAGAGCCTGTTACCACTTGTGAAAAGAATGTATTACATGAAAATACATGTCTGTAACTGAAAACATACCTCTGACATTTTATTTTTATGGAATTTCTCTTTGAAGTAAATAGAAATGGTAAAGTAAGCATTAAGCAGTTCATTCAGAACTAGTTCTCCATACATATGTCATATAGAATAATGTAATAAGGAATGTTTCTAAAGGAAATAAATTAAAAAGACTGAAAATAGATTAATAAACACTTCATTCTTTAGGAGAAAAGATGAGTATAACCAGCCAGTTGAACTAGTTTCTTTATCTATAGCAAAGTATTGATATTTAAAAAATATGTATATAATTTAATATATCTGACTTCATAAAAGTAATTATTCTATGCTGCCTAATTGGTACTTTTATTGAGGTGGGTGTTTATCTGCCGTTATTGAATGTTATGAAAGTTACTTCTTCATGGAGGAAGGATTAATTTTGTTAAATCTATTACTCCAACTGTTTACTTTCAATGCTATATCTGCAGAGTTGATAAAACAATAAAACCATGTTCTTTACTGTCTTCATGCAATAAATTACAGTTATAATAAAAATTTAAGAATTTTTGTGTGGAACATTTAAAAAATGCTAATCTAGCTGATAAGTTTCTTATATGTAGTTACATATGTAGTAAATAAAAGTTGTCTTTTTCTAAACACATTAAAATCGTTAAATGAATGATTAGAAGTTATTAGTTATGGTAATATGTGTCCTGTTTTAGGAAGGTTAAATATCACGTGAAAAGAAAACTATAAAATTTCCGTACTATTTAGTGAAGTCTTTTATCGTTAAGTATAGTTTCTAGCAGCTATATAGAATTTCAGAGATATGTAGAAAAAAATGTGATCCTGATTGTTAATTTATGACTAGATTGTGAAAGCTCATATAGTAATTAATTTAACTATTTTGACCACATTACACTCATTGTTTGATAGATATCTTTTCAGATTAATACTTCTGATATCATTCATAGTAAAATAAAAGCATGTCATTTCTTTATTCAGCAGGTAAAATATTTATTACCATGTATATTTTTCTTTTTATAATATAAAAGATATGCTCAAAAACTTGCTGTCCTTCTCTTTTTGGCTTACATCCACATGAAGTAAGTTTTAATGTAATGCTTAAATATATTGTTGCACTATATTTTGCAGTTGCATAAATTATATATATCTAGCCTGATTAGTGCTTCTGCTTATTAGATATGTGGATGTAGCTAAAGCTTCTGTGTTTGTTTCTTGTATCTCTTAATTTTAATACTGAGTATGTTATGTGCTTCTTCGCTAATGTTTGCAGTATGTGTTTTTGTCATATTGAAAGTGCTGCAATAGTGATTGATCGCACATATAAAAATGCAGAAAAGAAATTGTATTAATCATAGTAACATTTGTGGGGTTTTTCTTTTTCTTGCTGCTGCTTTCTGCTTACTGTGCTGATATCTCCTGTCCCCCCCCTCAAATGTTACTCTGTACCATGGTGCTGTTTAATGAGAAGCTGAACAGATTTGTCTTAAATTTAGAATTACATTAAAAAAACTTTCTGCATTAAAGGAATGCTGTGAATAAAAAAAAAAAAGGAAGCAGTTTTTGTTTTTAGAAATGAGATTTATTTTGAATAAATGCTGTATAAAATTATATTTCTATGAGAGCAAGATAATGCAAAGCACCATTAACTCAGAGATTTGTAATGCTACATATTTCATGAATAATTTTGTATAGTAAGTAATTAGCTTCACTGAAGCTGAGATAGAGGTTTGAGGTAGAGTATATAAATTGGAGCAGTTATTTTTTTCCCATTCCTAGATTCAGTACATTCAGTATTTTAAGTTAAAAGAGCATCTGGAATGTTGTAATTCATTAATTGCATGGATTTAATTTTCACTCTGAATTTCCAGCACTTTCAGTAATTTCTTGAAGTACTGAAAGTTGCCTTTCCGGTACTTAATGTATGGTTACAGTAAAATGTAAAGGCTGGATACAGTTAGCTGCATATAGGTATTAATTACAACTGTTCAGTCACAATACCAATTAAAATTATAGATGAATGGAACAAAATGTTGCCAAATGGTTGCCACATTTGGCAAGTTTTTGTGAGTTTTCTCCAAATTTGGCGGCAAAAATTAGTTACTAAAACCATCACCAGGTTGGCAATATCTTGCCAATTTAAAGAGAAAGCCATTTATTCAATGTTAAATAGACTTGCCCCTATATTCTTATTTTTCTGGCAAAGCTTCGCCTCAGATTTTCATATTACATGATCCAAAACATACTACAGTTTTTATTTATAATTTCATTAAAATTGTTCACATATATACCAAAATTTGTAACAGTATTTATTGCCATCTTTATCTCAATGGTAAGTGTAGTTTTTATGGAGTTTGTGGTGTTTAATATAAAAATGACACTGGAAATAAGTTATTATAATCTTGAAGTTGCTTAAAAATTAAATTAGCTGAATTAACTTTTGCAGACAATTTTAGTGCAAAATTTTTTCAGAAATTACCAAATTTTAGCTAATTGTTATTGGATTAATTCCCTTTTATTTAATTAACATTTTGATGTGGTGTGAAACTTTAAAAAAATAAAATTGGGTAATAAATGTGAAAAAATAAAATGCATTATATATTTTCTTTATATTGATTAAAGACATTATTATATATAACGGCATCTGTAATATGGGCTACCTATTCTTCCATGGCTATGACAATCTTCTAAACTTGAACTAATAAGCAATTACACCATCATATTAATGTGACAGTATGTGGAAATAAAATGGAAATTTGTATTTTTATTTTGGATTCTATTTGTATATTATGTTTATTTGTTTATTATAACATGTCTGTACTTAGAAATTAAATCTTTTTTTATAGTATATGTCTTTATGGTGTCAACTTAATTTGACCATTTTATGATAAAATTTAATTTATATGATTAAAAAGTGTGAGGGAATGTAGAAGAAGATTTAAATAACATTTTGATAGATTCTTTTGCAAAGTTAATTAAATAAATGGGAATTAAATTGCTGTTTATTGTGATAAAAGGAAAAATTAGCTTTCCTTACTTTCAAGTATAATTTAAAAAAATTTATACTAAAACTAGATTAAAAAAATTTATTAATTGTATTTTTAAGTTTTCCCTTACTTGAATTCAATTTATATTAATTCATAAAAGGAAATTGTTGGTATAAATATAATAATCGGATAATAATGTGTTTCTTTATATTATTTTTTAAATGGAATTTCTTGATTTTTTTTTATAAATTCACGTTGTTTTAAGTAATAGCTGCAATTCATTAATGTATATTGTTAATTGGTTTTCTGTTTAATACATCGAGTTTCGGTTAATGTTGTGAGTTTGCGATTTTATAGTTGAAGCATATTATCAAAATGTTACTGGCATTTATAATGCTTTCTTGGAAATACATTTTTGTTTATTGGGGGGTTGCATTAAAGGTATATTATTTTATTTTGACTTTTTATGAGGTTTCTAATATTTTTGTTTTTTATAAGGTGGGACAATCAAAGCTCAATGGGAAGATGTTACAGGATCTACTCCTTTAACTTTCGTAAATGACTGTGTTTCCTTTACGACGACAGTCTCTGCGAGGTATAAAATATTAAAATTTCATAATTATTTTCAATCGATTTAAGAGTAGAAGGCAAATTTCTTTAATACATCATAAATGTCTTTTGAAACTTATATATATGAGTAATAAAATCTCATATGTCTTCTCTAATTGACTACTCTTTAATTAAGAAATAAAGTATGATTTTCTTGAAAAAGAAACCACAGGTGATGGAGGACGGGGACGCCTGGCGTCTAACAGAGGTAAACAGGCATATGTCCCACACCCTCCCCTATCCAGACGCAACAACGTTGTTTATAACAGTCTAAAATTAATATTATATCTTTGGAAATTAACTTTTAAAAATATTTTGATTCTTATCATGAATACCAATGGCTAAGTAAATAAGATTGCTGAATTTTGGTAGTTTGATTTGGGATACAGACAAATGTAGTGTATTCACATAAAGTGAAAACTGTTGAGCTTTCAATGATTTTTCCTACGTAGAATGTGGATATGAGCCTGTTTCTCTTAGAAAGTCTGCTGCTGTGAAATTCCTTCCTTAATGCAGACAGCAGTAGTGTGTCTGCTTTCCTGTAACCAATGGGTTGCCAACAGGGTCAATATGGACCTCGTAGGGGGTCGATGAAATTTTGAAGGGGGTCTATGATGATCAAGGAATCGATTGGGGGTCATTATCCGATTGAGTCAAATATCCTGTGGCAATTGGTCCTCATAATCAAGATCCAAAAAAATTTATTTTTAAAATTGATAATTAATTGTTTTGTAAAGTGTCTTATGTTAATTAACCAGTTATTATGTTTTAAGCCTTTACTCTAACTTCATCTTCCGTCTTGTTTATATTTTTTGCCATTTCTGCTTAAAAGTAATATTCCAGCTTGAGCTTTTTCCCTAGTTGAAGTTTTAAATATGTTCCAGTAAAGTATCTGAGCCAACTTATTTCTAGTCCATTTAATATGTAATGTCTTAGGTATGTCTTAGAGCATGTCTTATATATGTATGTAATATGTATGTCTTAGGCCTATGCTGTCAAAGTTTGAACTTTATTGTCTGTCGTTTTTCAGTTCAAAATTTCATCTGTAGCACTAATTGTGCCTTTATGTTCAGTTTAAGACCAAAAGAAAAAAAAAATATTATTCTGATCCTTTTCTGTAATTTGTGAATTGTTTAACACGTTGAGCCAGGTGCTGAATTTGCTGTCCAGCCAGCACGAGCAATCAAGTGGTGCAATATTGCAGGGTGATCCGCAATTTCATGCACTGAGTAGAGCTTATCTATTGGTGAGTTTTGTCTGCTACCGACAAGCCCTGCCTGTCCATGACAAAGCAAGTGGTCGTGAATGTTGATGCTGTTGGTCCTGTGGACGACGCCAGCCAAACGAAAATTCCAGGGATTGACGCCGGCTAAACAAAAAGACTCTGGTCACACGGAAAGTTCATTGCCGGTGTCCAGGGACAGATGACGGCCACATGGAAAGTTCACTGCCGGTCTCCGGGACCGACCCCGGTACACAGAAAGTTCACTGCCAGTGCCCAGGGCTCAACGTGTTAAGATGTAACACTAACTAACTATTCATCTGGTGAGGTTTGCAGGACATCAATTCTAGCTTCAGGTTACAGTAACAACCCTACAGCTTATTGATATAGTTCATATAAGTCAAGCCATTTTCAAAACTATGGGTATGCTAAGTTTTGAAATTTAAATCAGTGAAAAGAGATACAGTCAAAAGTCTTTAATCCGGACTCGTTGGGACTTCGGCGATTCCGGATTATAGATCATCAGTTTAAATCTGGTAAGATGGCATGCAGAGATTATAAAATTAAAAATATGAAACCGTAATTTATAAAATAATGAGCAATTATGATCTAAAGGGTATCAAAATTTACAAAAGAAGAAGCTTAATATTTATTTGTTTACTTTATTAAACATTTCTTTCAACGCGCGCATGAGTAAAGCATACATTACGCATAGCTGAAATTTTATCAGACCAACATTATTGACTTCTGCTTCAATAAGATGTGGAAGCAGGCGTTAGTCAAAACAATAACTAACTTGGGGTTTGTATGTTCCTTAAAGTATTTAAAAAGTCCTTAGGTTTTTTTTGGTTCTTAAAAGTCTGTAATTTTGTCCAAATCCAGCAAAAGGTCCTTAATTTTGCTCATCTGACATTTCTGTTCCCCCCCAACACAGTTGTCACTTTGAGTGCAAATTAACCATTTTGGAGGAATATTTTTTGGCGATACATTGACAAATGTGTATTTAATGGATTAACATTTGAATTCTTTCATAGTTCTGAATGCAAATGGTGGATACTTGAAATTTAGAAGCATGAGACTGTGCTTCACTTGAAACTTAAACATTTCAAAGTAATTCTTTTATTTTCTGAATGAAGAGTTCATAAAATTTTATATCGAAAACAACTTTTACGTTTTTAGGATGCGAGTTCTTTTATTACACTCATGTCCAAAATTATGTTTACGTGCATAAATTCACGGATTTCTCAGAGACTATGACTTATAATTTAATGAATTTTCGTGGAATCATACATAACATGATGACACATAAATGCAAAAGAAAAAATTGAAGATCACCTCATATGATATAAAATTGTAGCATGAAACCATAAAAATGGTAATAAAGTGTGACAAAGAGAGTTAAGAAAAAAAGGAATGATTCAGAAAAAGAATTAAGTCTTACGAATTTAATATGGAATATGATCTCCCCTGACTTGTACACACATATCACAACGTGTTTTAAGGCTGGAAAATAACGTTGTAACCACAGTTTGGGGAATTAATCTCCACTCTTCTAGAAATGCCGTCTTCAGAGCATTTACATCTCTAGGAGGAGGATGTATACGTGCAATTGCTCTTCCAAGGTAGTCCCATAAGTTCTCTATCGGGTTAAGGTCAGGAGAATTTGGTGGCCAAGGTATTCGCTTAATGTCTTCACTTTCAAGGAATTCATCAACGAGGTTTGCTCGATGTGGACGGGCATTATCATCCATAAATAAAACGTCAGGTCCATATGCACCCCTGAAAAGTCTTACATAAGGATCTAAGACCTCATCCCGATATATCTGGCCCTGTCACAGATCCGCTGCTGAACACGTGTAGAGGCGTACGTCCATCGATCATTATTCCACCCCATACCGTCACACCTCCACCGAAACGGTCACGTTCCACAATGTTCGAGGGATCATTTCGTGTTCCTGACTCCCTCCAGATGTAAACACGTTTAGAATCACAAGTTAAACTAAACCGCGACTCATCAGTAAAGAGAATATATGGGACCATTGATGTTCAGTCCAGTTTTGATGTTCTTTACACCAATTAAAGCGATCCCTCTTTTTCTGTGAAGACAGTAAAACACATACCCTTGGCTTTCTGGCATAAAGGCCTTTTTCATTAAGCCTTCTGTAAATTGTTTGCCTTGATGCAACAGTTCCAGTGGCGGCTGCAAGCTCTGAACTTAACTGGCGAGCAGTAGCCTTTCTGTTACGACGGGCAGTTAATGCCAGATACCGATCTTCAGAAGCAGTTGTCATTCGTTTCCGACCTTGTACAGGCTTCCTTACAACACTTCCATCATTTTGAAACTGTTTCCATAGCTTAGAGACTGTCTGTCTTGAAATATTCAGACATGTGGCTGTTTCCATGATTGACTGCCCTGCTTCTAAAAGGCCGATAATTCGCCACTTTACAGATTCTTCCAAATGATACTTCGAAGTCATAACAAACCGCTTTGAGTCCCTACACACTGAAATCAAACGCTATGTTGCAGAAATTCACTCAAATATTCAGTTTGCGCAAAGCGCTTGATTCACCCTTGGATGACGTAACGCCTAAATTTGCATATCACAAACCGAATGATTACTTTTGATTGGATAATGCTAATTAGGCTTGGTTTTCACACATTCCCTGCAAATACGGATCACATTGATTCGATATTTCATTGAATATCATCATTTTTGGGTATGTAAAGATAATTTTGGACATGAGTGTATGTGGTGCTAAATTTGATGATTTCAAAACCCGTTTGTATACAAAATTTTTTATTTGGTTATTTGCGAAATTTTGAGACACTTTATTACAAACATAACATTGGTAAATATCACAAAAATTATGATAATAAATTAAAATTATATTTAAGAAATAAAATTAAAATAAACCATTTTTATTTTCTCCTGCCATATTTTAAAGTGGCCTTACTTTCCATTTTGGTGACTTAAAAATATTTTTATTCTGAAAAATAAACAAGGTAATAAATACTATCACAGTTTCTGAAATAAATCTTATAAAAAACAAAGATGCTGCTCTAATTATTTAAAAGTAAATTTCATTTGTCTTTTTTTTTGATTTTCATGTTAAGAGTTTCCCATAAATTTCAGTTTTGTTTTTAAATGAAGAGCTTAACTATCTTGTTCAATTGTAATAATATGAATAGATTCAAAGTAGATTAGTAGTTATATATTGGGGGATTTATAATTATCTGCTAGAAGCTAAATAATAGCCAAGACCCTTCTGATGGGTTAGGTTACTTGAACATGGCAAAGCACTGAAGGGTTACCCGCCTGAGGATAAGGATGCTTTCATGAAGGGAAACTGGTTCATAGCCATGTTATACAAGGGGAAAACTGTGAAAACACCAATGTAGGCAACCCGTTTCTCTGGGATCAAACCATTTGCAGATATTTGTTCATTCATTCACATATTTGTATGCTTTCAAACTACCAGTGTTCATTGGTCTTAACCACTCAGCCGTAGATGTATGACTACGGAAGATTTCTGGCACAATTGTGTGTTAGTGAGGATGCACTTGATTTTATTGCACTACAGTTTTTCTTTCCAGTTGTGTTATTTACAGTAAAGCTGGAACAGGAACATTGTGTATGTTATATTTAAAAATCATTCTTAATACCTGGCATTCATACCCATTAATAATAAAGTACACTGCCCTCCAAAAGTTAAGGATCAACATGATTTTGAAAGCTCACCGTTACAAAAATGTCAGTAACATTTAAATTTCACAGTTCATATGCATGACAGTAATGAAGTTTAAGAAAATATATGCAAAAACAATAGCTACTACTTTTATTTTTATAGAAATGAATACTTATGTAGGAGTTGGAGAAAAAATGCAAAAGTCATAGTTATTGTTCACAATCGTTGATCTTCAATTGTTATTACAGTTTTGTGGAGAATAACCAGGAGAGTCTACCAATGTCCAGGAGACATCGTTTGCCTGAATTGAATTGTTGAGGTAGCGGGCGATCAGATGGATTGAAATGGGGGATGTGACAAGCTGATGCTTCTAGATGTCTCAATGTCTCTCGCAGTATGGTCCACTGACTATGGAATCAGTTTGAATCCAAGGATTCTCTTTATAGAAGACATATGCCAGCAGACCTAGATTTAGAACACCTGCGGGAGACCGTTATTTAGCTCTTTTGACCCAAAGCAAGAGTAACATTAATGTACCTTAGCTTATTTTCAGCTCATTTAGTGGCAACAGGAATAAGAATCTCAGCTACTACAGTGCACAGATGCCTGCACAATACAGGTCTGTATGCAAGACGACCAGTAGCTTGTGTCCTCTTGATCCGAGGACACAGAGGTGCCCGTTTATGTTGGAAAGAGAACATGTCTCCTGGACCAGTCAACAATAGGCATTTTTTCTCTTCAGAGATGATTTCAGGCTCGCATTGGAGAGTGATTAAGGTGGTGAGCTGATCTGGAGGGAGCAATGCACCAGGTACAACCAATACCATATTGTGGAAAGACACAGTTACAGAGGTGGTGGAATAATGGTTTTTGTAGGGATTTCTCTTGGTGATCACACTGAACTGCATGTGTTCCATGGGGGAACTTGGGTACAGTGTGACCAGTGTGAGATATCGAGACAAGACCTATGATCAAAATGTCTGCCCATATGCCACTGTTATTGATCCTGGATTTTTCCTGATGGACAACAATGCGCAACCCCACCGAGCTTGGGTTGCTGAAGAATATCTTGAGAGTCGCGGTAGGGAGCAAATGGAATGACCCACTGTATCCCCAGAGCTGAATCTGATAGAGCATCTTTGGGACTACTTTCGGAGACAGGTTGCTGTTTCAAGCCCTCCTCCAAGGTCATTAGATGAGCTTGAACAAGGATTACTCAGTGTCTGTTCATTGCTTTCTATTTTACTGACCGACAAACTTAATTTGACAGTATGGAACATTGCTGCCGCCAACATATTGCAGCTGGGGGTGGACACATTTCTTATTAGAACCCATTTTTGTAATGTTACCACTCCATTTTCCCTCAAAAACTGTGATATACTGTTTTCCAAGACTGGGTTTCTCTGCCAGTAGTGCAGTTTTTTGTTGTAATTCGTGTTTGTGTTGAACTATAGAAACATTTCATGTTTCATTAATTAGAGAACTGTTCATGTTCACAAGACATGTTCACTAGAACATGTCTTGTAAATTTCTTGTTTCTATGGTGCTTCATTCTCAAATTAGACCTAAAATCATGCTGTTCCTTAACTTTTGGAGGGCAGTGTATTTAAATCAATGAGTATTCAGGGTAAAAATGATAAAATATTTGACCTATTATGTCAGTGGACATGTATATAACATTCTATTAAAGCATATCATGAACACATGTACTTCTTTTCAAGCTTAAGCCATATACTTTTCATTAGGTAACTAAGTTTTAACATTAAAGAATGCATGAATTATAAGTAAATGCTGTGATTGTTTCTTTATCTTCTTCTCTCCCTCCCAGAATGGTGTCAACTGTTTTTGTCAACTTCCAGAATTCTTTTATTCACGATTTACCATTTGAGTATATTTACAATTACTTACGGTTAAGTGTGTGTCTTTACATTTAAGTAAAATAAAATTTAAAATAGTTATCGTACATTGTGTTTTGTTATTATGAGTAATGTAATTTGTACAAAATTGAGATTTAAGCATTTTAAGTATTGAATAGATTTTTTTTTTTTTTTTTTTTTTTTTTTTGAGGGGAGGCTAATTTTCTTTTAATGCATTATTTTTTTTTAATTTTGCAAGTAATACAAAATAGATAAATTGAAATTGTACAGAAGTTGCTTTGCAATAACTTTTATTGTTTCTCACTTTCATTATCCGAGAGAATGAAATCTTTAAATATATTTAAATATTGTGCTACTGATTATAATGTAATTTTCTATATTTTAAATTACTAATTTTTCTAATTATGTTTGAATAACCTACTGTTGTAAATGTAGTTTGCATGATCATACAATTCTGAATCATTAATATATTGATAAAAACTTGCAAATACGAAATTAAATAACAGTTGTAGTTTTTTTTTTTTTTCCTTTTAGTCGCTTCTTTCACTTGTAAAAGGAAATTTAAAAGAGCTCTTTTCTATTGTGTTCATTTAGGTTCTGCTCGAACACATCTTTCTGGTTTCAAAAGAGTTTTCATTTTGTAAAAAATAAAGCATAAATTGTAGTTGGTTAAATTGTTATAAATGTAGTAAATAATTTCTTTTAAAAAGCTGAGATATAAAGCTTTAATCAACTAAAACTGCATATAAAACAGAATGCCAACTGCTACATTGTAAGAACATGATGTTAACAAAAAAAAAAAAAAAAAAAAAAAAAAAAAAAATGTTGCCATCACATATAATAAAATTTTAGTGCTGCCATTAATAATAAATAATAATACCATAACTGCTTTCTTACTTTTATGTGTATATCCTTTTAAAAATATTGTAAAATTTAGTCATGTAATTTGTTTTTATAAATTTATCTAAATTTTTCTTGCAATAGATTTTGGCTGATTGATTGTCGGCAAGTAAATGAAGCAACTAAGTTTGCTACCGAACTTTACCGTGAAGCCATTCATGTGCCCTTTATGGCAAAGTTCGTGGTGTTTGCGAAAAGGCGGGATCCTCTTGAAGCCCAGTTGCGAGTATTTTGTATGACAGATGACAAAGAAGACAAGACATTAGAATCTCAGGAACATTTTACTGAAGTTGCTAAAAGTAGAGATGTTGAGGTACATCATATGTATTTCTTTTCTTGTACAGTTGCATTAAATTTAACATTTCCTGATTTTTATTAGATTATGTCATTTCCAAATACTTCTTAATTTTAATGTACAAAATTGCAATTTTATAATTTAAAAAAAGTGTTCATCTTTTTATAACAAAAATTTTTTAAAAATTTATTTTTCCCATTAAGAATTTTTATAAGAAAGTATTTTTCAAATTTTGTAAAACTTTTTTTTTTTTTTTTTTAAATTCATAGAGAGGAATTAGTTTCTAAAATTATTTGATCAGAGAGAGGGATAGTCTAGAAGGCGTGTTTAAAATTTTTTTTATGCATGGGAAATTATAGAAATTAATGATTAATAAATTCAAAACTCAAAATATTTACATTGCAGTTATTTAATGATTTACTAATGAATGAATGAAATAGATATGACTATTATTAAATAGGATTTTGAAATAGGTATGGCTATTTTTAAATGGAACTATGAATATAGAACCTTCTCCTTTGTAATAATTATATTTTCTCTCTTAACTTGATAGAAAACTGTATTGCAATCTGATGACTTCAAGCATCTCAAATCAAAGGCTTAAGTAAAAATGAATAAAGTTTAGGATCCTAAACAATCTGATTCTGAACTTTAATACTCTTTTATTAACTGTAATAAAGCTGCAAATGTTCATAAAACTTTTAAGTTGGGTCTATCATAAATTAAATGTATTTATATATATATATCAATTAGACACGTCATAAAGAGATAAAATAAAATATATTAATCCCTTTTGTATTGTTTAGTTTTATAAGCAGTAATAAATTGATTGTTTGAAGAAAAAATTAAAGATCTTACAGCCAAATGTCTGTCTGAAAACCAGCTATATATGAAGGCATATAAAAAAATAAATTGGTAGTCTTATGTTTAACCGAATGGCAACAACACTTATCAAGGGCTGCTTTTAGATGCATTCTATTCTCATTTGTGCTTGTATAAAGCATGATCATATCTATAGATTTTATTCTGCCATATCATGATTTTACAATGGTATGCTTATTTTAAGATGTAAAAAACAAAATACCAAGGATAGTAGCAGTGGTGTGCAGTCCATATGTGCAGCGTGTGCACTGCACACCCTGGCAAAATTATGAGAGACAATAATTTTCTGCACCTATCATTATATGGTATATAATAAATATTATTTATAATATATTCAAATATTATGTTTATTTGCTTGCTTGTATCCCCACAGTGCATGCAGTACTAGGTGCTGCACCACATAGCGCGTTCAAAAGCAAAAGAACATGGGAAGTTTTGATGTGTATGCACTGCGCACTAATAAAAAATCACGCTTTATATATATGGGCTAGTGGAGAAGCACAGCACACTATAGCACTTGGCATTCAGAATCATCCGAAGGTACGGTTTATTAAGCGTTGTATTAGAGCGTGCTGAAGCGCTTTTAGTTTTTTAATTGATTAACTGGCCATATGATTTTGCAAACGGTTAATGTTTAAATTTATATATTGTAAGATTTTTTTATGGAAATATAAAAGAAGTATTTCATCAATATATAAAGGGAAATATTTTAGTGTGGTAAAGTAATTTCCAGTGATGTATTATATTTATAGAAATAATTCTCTGAAAAACAATTTTGTTTTGTTAGACCAAAAAGAAATGAATTTTAACAGAACACTCCAACACTTTTGTAAAGCTAACAAATGAATTATCTGTTCTTTATCGTAGTGAGTGATACCACTAAATGAATTTATTGAAACTTATTCAGCATATAATGCTGAATGATTTGACAGATGCACTAAGTGAAGTAAATAAATTGGCACATTTATTTTGTGCAATTTCATTTTCAATTGCTTCGGTGGAGAGATCATTTTCAGCATTGAAAAGAGTAAAAAATTATGCACGCAATACAGTGAGCCTGGATAGATTAAGCAATTTATATCTAATAGCAATAGAAAAAGAAATGTTACACTTATTACAGTCAAAACCAGAGTTTTATGATCATGCAATTGATGATTTTATTAGTAATATGGATAAACGTATGGATTTTGTGTACAAATGAATAATAAAAAGTTAAAGAAGTGTTTAATGTACATTTTTATGGTTTTATTATTATTGCTGTTGTTGTTCTCTGCACACCCTGCATGAAAACCTACTGCACGCCACATGATAGTAGATAGTTCAGTATCAAGTGGGTTGATGGCTTAAAAGAATATCAGTCATATTTGATGTAGTCGCATATTAGTTTGATTTAGTAGCATAAAGTTGACGATAGCCAAAATTTTATTGATTTAATCTTAAAATGTAAATTTTAAATTTGTTATTAATAGTATATTTGAAATAATCATTTTACTGAAAAAATATATAGGTTTTAGAAGGAAAGCTACAGTACCTGGAATTTGCTGGCAATCTTGTTCCTGTCACAAAGTCAGGTGAACAGCTGAGTCTCACATTCCAAGCCTTCAGAGAAAACAGACTACCCTTTACAATTCGTGTAAAAGACCCTCATCAAGAACCTATGGGACGGGTGGCATTCATGCGAGAACCAAGAGTGGGTCGCGGAGAACCTCCACAGTCACCTATTTGTAACCTAAATATAGTTTTACCTGAGGTAAATCAGCTTATATATTAATTAGCATATTTTTATTTTTGAAACACTTTGCATTCAATGTATTTCATGTGGAGTACTCTTAAATAATCATTTCATATATACCAAATTTTATGAGTTTTTTGTATTTTTTACAGAAACATCTGTAAAAAAAAAAAAAAAAAAAAAAAAAAAAAAAAAAAAAAAAAAATGTTCTGCCATGGCGATTTGGTGCCAAACCTACTTTTGGTGTGTATTTTTATAAGAATTTAAAGTTACCATCAGATCATGTGGTGAAAAAAATGAATTCCACTGTCAGTTCTGGGATTATCATGCTTCACCATGTGATTTAAAATATGCACTTTTTCCCACAGAAATTTATAGTAGTTATTATCTTAATTATAATGTATTTCATTTGGTGCATTTTATCATCTGCATTGCTATGATTAATTACCATTTTACTTGCTGTAAAGTTTTGATATTGAAGTAATTATATGGAACGACGGCATATATCTCCCTCATTTTCCTGTTTTAAAATACACAACTTCTGTGTCTGGCATTTTTTTTGGGGGGGGAGAGGGGGCAAAATTTTATAAAGTTAATTTAGAGAAATGTGGTAGGAAGTTTTATCAAATATATTTTGCTTCTGGTATAATAAAATTTGTTTGAAGAAATGAGTAAAATTTTTAATTTTGCTCAGTGTCCATTTATATAGTTTTTGATTGAAGGCAGTATTTCTTTGCTGCATATCATATTGGTCTTGTGTTAAGGAAAATAGTTCTTCATTCAGAAGTAGTTAAATATTCATGTGTTAGAACAAAATCTTCTATGTTAATGAGATGTCAAATGTTCACTGAAAAGACATGATAAATACTTTGCAAAGTCTGCCTTTTCATTATCTGTTAATGAAAGAAGTACAAGTGATTTAAGTTGTACCCAGTTTTTATGATTTATTTTAATGACTGAGCATAAAATAAAATGTACTGCTTTTTGTCTTTCTAATTCAAGTGGTAACTGAACTGATCGAAATATTTTGGGAATGTTTATTAATGAATTGAATAAATTAAATATTTCTGTATCGAACTTTGTTTCTTTCTGTGCAGATATTGCATCTGTTATGTCAAGTCATTGAAAAGGTGTGGCAACCTTTCTGAGAAAACATAAGGAATTAATCATTATGTGTTATCCATAACACTTAATAAATTTAGCGACAGGAAAACAGCTGTTGCATTACCAATAAACATGAATCAAATTTTAGTGAATGCATTCTGTTACTAAAGAAGTGTACTAGCAAAAAGAATATAAAAACCTTTCAGGAGCGTTTTGAGGAAGAAATAAGAATAAGTGTTGAAGTATATGCATATGAGGTGACTGTTGCTTAAGAGTATTAAAAATGGATCAGTGGGATGGAGGTTTTAAGTTTTTCATGAAGTGAAATTAATACTGAATTCAAAACTATTGACAAAGACAAAATAAGCATGTCATGATGACCTTTTCACAAGAAAAATCAAAGAATGAAGAAACATGTTTTTCTACAAAAGAGATATCTTTCTTCCATCTGACCTAAACAAAATTGTTTTCAGTTTTTACTATTATCTGTTCCTGATTTTAGGAAATTAAATATGCAACTACTGTCAACATCATTAAAGAAATCTATTCTGGAAAAAATGCCTGAGATGCTGTCGCAAGTACTTTTTATTAAATTTGTCAAACCTTCAGTATTGAACACATTCAAAGATTTGACAGAAATTCCATACTGTTCAGGAAGGAGATGAAGATTATCACTTGAAAAAGTTGGAGATCGCTTAAAAAGTTAAAATACAATGAGAAAAAAAGAATTTTTTTTAATCTCTTCAAAAAAAAGGGGATGCCATTGTGATGGACTTTTTAAGAAAAACTGCCTTGTATCCATATTATATATGAAGAAAACTATAAAAAGTCCCATGTCATCGGCCTATTCGCTAGGATTTGAAATCAGGTTGAACTACCAGTGCTTAACAACTATCCACTGGTGGGCATTGGTTAACTACTGCATATACTTAAAATAGGTTATATGCAACAACACTCCATACACAAAATACTAGAAGTCCTGTTATGTATCATAAATAAATAAGAAAGTATCTTATAAAGTACTCTCAATGCACAATAAATACAGGTAAGTTATGCTATCCATTGTTTGTGTAATACAGTTAGCATCACCATACATACAAAAACATTACACGAGTCTAAATCTATGAAATACCTGTTATGCAATATAAGTAAAATGCAAAGAGTAGAATTATAAACATCGTCTACCATTAATATAGTGTAGGGCAGTCATAACTCTTTATGTTTAGGCCTTTTTATTTTCATATTATTCAAAGGACACAGTGATATGTAGATCACAATTGTACTTGAAAACCAATAATACTATAAATATGTAGAGTACAGATACATTTAAACAAAATTACATAAAATACACATAGAACCAAATATATTCAAATAGTTTTAAATTATATGCATATAACCTTGGATGCATTCAAGAAGGACTTTATAAGGGGAACTGGTTTGTGTCCATATATTACACTTGAGATAACCACAAAACTGCCCATGTTACAAGCCTATTCATATGGAACTGAACCTATGTCAAATTGCCAGTTGTTCACCAACTTTATCACTGGGCCCCTGGTGAATGTGATTAACTACTTAGAATATGAGCCTGTTGATTTATTAGGTCTGCAAATACCAGAAGTATGATATCAGTAATACATACAGTACATGTAAGCAATGAGAGGGAATGATGGGAGATTAGATTACAGAAAGCAAAATGTTAAAAGTTCGCATGTCAGTGCTAAAATATTCACTTGTGTTATTTATACTTAAGCAGGGTTCGTGTGGTCCTTAAAAGTCCTTAAGTCCTTACATTTTTTTGTAATCGATTTTTGGTTTTTAAAAGTCCTTAATTTTGGCCAAAATCTGCAGAAGGTCCTTAATTTTAATCATCTGAAATTTCTGTCTGTTTTTATGACTGCCATTTTGAATGTGAATTAGCATTTTGGAGGAATATTTTTGGCGATGCACAGACATTTATCTTTTGAATGGGTTCATGGGTTATGATTTGTTTCTATTTCTAATATAAATGATGGGATACTCGAGTTTCTAAGCAAGAAATGAAACATAAGCATTTCAAAATTCATTTTTTCTAATAAAGAGCTCTTAAACAAGGTTTCGCTTTTGAGGATGTAATTTCTTTTATTAAACTGTTCTAAATTTGGCAACTTGTCAGCATTTTGGCGATTTTAAGATCAGTTTCTATAGGACATTTTTAATTCAGAGATCTGAAAATTTTTTGACAATTTTTTTAAAACATCACAACAGTGATAAATTTCATTAAAATAATGGTAACATATTGAAATTATATTTAAAAAATGACATTAAAATAAAACACTATTTTTTGCTGTCGTATTATAAAGTTTCATTTTGGCAACTTATATTATGCAATATTTGGAATCTGAAAAATAAACAAGGTATAATGCTATAAAGTATAATTTGCGAAACAGCTCTTAGCAAAAGCAAAATTAGCTATGTAATTAATTTAAAATGTCTTCTTTTTAATTTTTTCATGGTAAGCATTTTTCCCATGTAATTGTCTCAAAATATTCAAAATTCTCAGAAAATGCATCAGTTTTCTCTATAAAATTAATTTTACACTTTTTCCCTCCCCCTTTTTTCCCAAAATATTTCTGCCTTTTTGCTGTTACAGAATTGATAAAGATAATTTTTCTTTAGTATTTTAGACCTTGCAGCTTGGAAAGTTTAGAAAGATTTGAAGACAAGATTTAAAAACATGCGATCCTCGAAGATTCGAGAAATATGTGACAAAATGAAAAATATCTCCATATTTGGTATCAACATGTAATGAATGTATTTTACAGAAAGTTTGCGATGAATTTCTTATATTTTGGAGAACGTCTGGAAGAACAATGAAAACATAATATTTGAATGTTTTACTCCTGATACTAGAATCTTTTTCTTAACATGTTTATCTTTCCTTTATTTTCTCTACTTTTCACAAAACACAAGCATGGAAGATATTAAAAATGGTTCTAATTTTATCACTTGGGCAGGCATTATAGAAAATGAATTTTTTTATTAATAAAGAAATTGAAAACTTACAATTTAAAAGATTCATCTAATATGTCTTAATGCATCATACACAGAGCGGGCATGAGGCGTTTTCCCACCTGTTGGAATCTCTGTGGATCCTAAATTCTGCTGGCTAGTGCCTTTTTAAATTCTACTTCCCATGCATGCTCTAAATTCTGAAAGTTTTGCCATTTCTAGATTTTGTTTTTCTATGTGTCACTAAATTCTAAAAATTCTGCCACACCAGCTCTGTGAACCGGCCTTTACCATATATATTTCATATTACTAAAGAAATAAAATTAGCCACTTTTTCTATTCTAAATGCATTTAGTGCTTTTTAGAATAACAGAAATCCTTAATTAAATCCCAAAAATCTAAAATGAAAAGGAAACGTGTTGAGGAAAGAAACTTGATTTTGTTAGCATCAGAACATGCCTTTATGTTTTAAGTTCTTTTTAAATAAGAGGCTTATTTAAACCTTTGTCTGATATTGTAGTTACTTTCAGACATAGCGATAGTTTGCTTCACAAACCCTCATAGGTACATTGTGGAAAGGTTGATAAGTTAGGAGATAAAGCACACAGAAACTAGTGAGAGCATTGGTTTGCATATTGAGAAACCTCTCATTGTTAGAAAAGATGCTTAAAGAGAAGGAAATCGATATAAACTAGCTAAAATTTTTGGGAAGGCTTCAAATTAAAATGACGGATAAATATTTTATTGAGTGTTGTTACAAAATATGAATGTTTTGTAGCTTTTAATGTGTTTTAATTTCCTAATATCGCTTAAGAATCAATGTCATAAATTACATGTATTTAAAATTTCTTTCTTTTATCCCATTTATTTCAGGCTGACCCTACTCCTGTATCCGAATTAGTAACATTAGAGAAGAAATATGGTTTTGTCACAGAAACCAGTTTAGGTAAGGGAAAAAGTTCTTTAGGTAAACTCATTAGTAATACTTGACTTGACTACAAAGAAACTGACTTTGATTAAAAATATATATATATAAGATAAAGTAATATAAAATTCTTTTATTTTAACCCTCTGAGTGCCATGACCAACATTATATTGTCGAGATTTTTTGTGACTTTATATATATTCATGTATAATTAAAGATAGTCTGATTGCATGATTTCTTTAATAGTATAAATGTCATCTTGATGAATGTAAGTTTTTGAAATTAGAAACTAAAATAATTCATACAGATTCTTTGTAATAAATTTGCTTAAACATCATTGTGTGTGTTAGCATTCATTGTTGCTCTTTCGTCGCTGAACACTGGTAGTTCGGTCCGAGGTTCGAATCCTGCGAACGGGCTGGCTGCATGGGTGTTTTCGTGGTTTTCCCCATGTGTAACGTGTATACGAGCCAGTTTCCCTTAAAAAGTCCTCCACGTAGGCATCCCTCCCTTAAGGCAGATAGCCCTCGAGTGCTTTGCTGTAATCTAATAAACCAAACCAAACCATTGTTGCTCTTTCTGGCTAACATAATCTTCACGTTTTGAATGTTTTCATCACTCTTGAGAAGCTGTAGGGCGACCACTTTGAGTAGCATCTTTATTTCAAATAGAATCCCTGTCCATCCTGGAAAAATGTTTAAACCAATCAAAAACATACTGAAAAGATACAGCTTCATTTCTATGATCTTATTTCATCAAATCATGTCTTTCTTTTGTAGATTTATTAAACTTGAAATAGGCCTATAAATCTATGTACTGCTTCATTTTGCACACTGTTATACCTTTGCATATGACTAACAGAAATCTTAATGCTTAGTACTATATAACGTTCAGACATATTCAAACACATTATGTTTATCTTTTTTACCCTTCATCATTCACCCAGTGTTATGTTTATCCGTCCTATTACTCCCCATTCATCTAACTTTGTTTCATACTTTGTATGTTAGTTACATCGCAGTCTTTTATAGCTATACTATAATTTTTCGCAGAATGACTTGCTGCCAGTTTGTTCTAGTACCAAGAAGAATACTTTGATTGTTACAACATGATTTTAAAGTAAATAAATTCTCAATTTTAGTTCATTTTGCAGAATATAATTATCACTATTATAAATTTGGTAACTTATTATCCAATGGAATGAAGGATATCCAGGTTCTAATTATATTTTTAAAGAACTTCTTCCATTATGTTAATGCTATTGCAGCTGTATCTTTTCAATAGCTTTACATCAGAAGCTGAATTTTTGGGCATTGCAATACTTCAACTATAAGTTATTCATCTATAACATTATTTATCATGTATTGTCGTGAATATGATAATTGTATTTGAATAGGCTTCACAAAACTGATGTTCCTCTTATAAGAAGTATAAAAAAATCTAATGCATGTTTATGTGTGTGTGTACATTATTACAGAACTTGTATAATTTTCGCCATCATTGAGAGTTCTTGGTTATGGGAATTCATTTAATATTTCTTGTATTTAAATGAAAAAATGCCAGAATATTTTTGATTATTTTTACTAAGTTGAGATACATTATACAAGTATTTTTATCACAACTATTTTTTTGCACTATACACACATGTTTTTTTAGCTTTCATATATTCTGTTATGTTTTTATATATGTTTGAATTTTTTTTTTTTTTTACTTTCAGCAAAACCAGAACTCATTCACAGAGCAGATTTGAGACTGTCAGACATAGCAAAAGAACTGAGAGATGACTGGATATCTCTTGCATTGCAGCTAGATGTACCTGAATCTGACATAAACACAATTAAATCTGAAAATCCTAATGATACTAGCCAGCAAGCTTTGGTTATGCTGAGACACTGGTTGCAGCGTGCTGGAAGCAAGGCTACAGGTTTGTAATTTTACTTAATTTATTGTTAAGTGTAAAAATGGCACTTTTTCCAGGTATGACTTTGGTGAAAGCTGGCATTTACATTGCTACTATAACCATAGCTTTTTAACCATCATCTAGGAATGATGTGAAATATCACAAGCTGAAGATCAGTCTTGAATGAATGTCACTTGTTTCATATTTATTTGTGTAAATTCAGATGTTTTAGGTAGAATTCAGTAGATACCTATTATACAAATGTAAACAAATTTCCTTTGCATTCATTCACTTTTAGCAGTTGAATTCAAATAATCAGAAAATTCTTGTAATTTGTTTCTGGGTGTAAAGAAATAAAAATCTGGATTTCTTGAAAATTCAGTATGATAAATTTAGCAGTAATTAATTACACAAGTATGCATATAAACTTTCTAAAATGTATATTAATATATTTTGCTTGAAGAAGTGAATTAATTTGATTATTGAAGTTATTTAGGATTTTCTGTGCATGTGTCTTTTTTTTAATAGTAAACATGGCTCCTGTTTTTATGTTTATATCTTAGATAAATTATTACTCTTAGATACATGTTCCATTATCTTTTCAAACTATTGAATTTATGCAGCTAACATGTATAAATAAGTTTGATTTATGCACAACTTCCTGGATACTGAATTCTCATGGTGTTTAGTTTGTTTATTTTTCACAAAATTAACAAACTGGTTTATGTCTGTGGTAAGTAAGAGACAAATTATGAAGAATAACACTTGTGGAAATATTTCTACCATTAAAAATAGAAACAATGTTAACAAGAAGCCAAATTTTTTTCACTTAATAAATCCAAAATTTCCGTTTTAGCTCTTTTTGTATACTGCTAATAATCCAATTGCACATGCACAGAATGTAATAGAAGTTAGCATAGATATTCAATCTAGGGAAAATCACACTACTGGAGTTTTTGAGAAGTAATGTTATTTTTTTTATTTATTCTGTCCTTCTTTTAAAAACATAAGAACTGCTTTGAAAGTAATTTTATAGGCGGATATGAAGCTTTTTCACATGAAATACAGCAATACAAAGGAGTTTCTTCTTACTTCAAAAAAATTTTATTTTTTTATTCCTTTTCTTTCCCTCTGCATTTTCTCTTTTACTGACATAATTTTTAGCATATAAATTATTCAAAAATATTTTTTTTATATTCAATTATTATTCAGCTGTCTAATCTTTTGATTAGTTATTTGTATGCAGACATTCCAGATTCAATTAAAAAATTAGAAAGGGGAAAATGTAAATAAAACCTAGAAAGATATGACATGTTTGCAAAATTATATATTCTGCAAAACACTTGGTCCTGAGGTAAACAGATTGTCAGAGTTATTTTGTTATACATGTACAAACCCATTATAATGCATCAGGATTAAGTATACGTTGAATTTATGTTTAGTCATTTTCTTTTAAATATTTCAAATTAAGTTTTTTCCTCTTGACTTGTAAAATAGCTTCAATGAAACTTATAATTAAAAGAGCCTATTAATAATTTATTGTAAACAGGTAACTTCCTGGAGAAAGGTTTAAGGAAAATCAATAGAGAAGATATTGTTAATCAATGTATGTTCAATGTTGAACTGGTGACAGATGATGTAGAAAAGGCTGTAGCAAAAGTTCACTTGGATCAGTCAGGTACCTTTTCTTTACTTATGTTGCTTTATAGAGATTTTTTTAATTGATTTATGTAACCTTTTAATAAATCTGAAATATATTTGATTAAAAAGTATTTTCAGCTTTAAATGCAATGAAATTGGGTTTGTTAATTATCTGCTCAGTTATAAAGTATGAAGCTAAAACTAATATATAATTTAAATAAATACTCCTTATTTTATAGAATATACGAATCCATTAACCAGTTCTAGTATAATACACTTTTTGGATATTCTGGTATTTAACTTGTAATAATTCTGAAATATCTATTTGATTCTTTTTGATTTTATTTTAAAATTATTTATCTTTTTCTGGTTATATTTGACATTTTACTTGTTTAAATGTTTTATTTAGGGTTTGACACATTTAAAGAAGAGCTTGGTTCTTCACGAGATGCCTCCTTAAGAAGAGAAACATCTCTAAATGGGACATATGATGAACAAGATATTATGAAGGTACATGAAATAAATTAGTTCAGAATTAAAATTTAGCAAATTTTTTGCTCCAGTTCTTTCAGCTCAGTTGCTCCAGTAAAATACAATACCTGCAGTACAAAGTTAGATGTCTAATATCCAGAGTGATATAAAGTCCAGGTATCCAAACCACCAGTAACTCCCGTTTTTTCTTTAGTATGTCATGCACATTTGATATTTTCCGTAATAAAACATGTATGGAGTCTGGATTCGTAATTTTGCTTCAGTACTTTATAAAATAACTCGATATTGCAGAAACAATCATTTAGTAGCACAGATCTGTATGATCGATGATTTAATCTGTATTTACATTTCTTCTTGTCATACATTTCAAACTGGATTTTACACCTACTGAATAATTTTTATCTCGGACACAAACTTGACAATGTCATGCATTTGTTTGGGCAGAGATGCACAGGACTTTCTGATATGTTATTGAAACTGAGATGAGATTTAGCTAGTTCATTCCCTTTGACTACATTTCATATATCAGTAAGTCATGCATTTATTTGGGCAAAGAAATACAGTGAAACCTCGTTACAACAATATTTTAGGGACCAAATAAATATATTGTTGTAGAGAGGCATATTTTTATATCGAGGGCCCACATATTTTGAGCATTTAATGAGAGGTTTTTTTTTTTATTATTATTAGTTTAAGGTGCATAACATACTACTTTCAAGTCTATATTTAGAAGAAATTAATTTGTAAAAATACTAATAATAGTGGTTTAAATACTAAAAAAATAAATAAATAAGATAAATTCAGAAAATAAGCACAGAAATATTCACATACCTGAAAACACTTTTTATTGAAAATAATCCAATATTTTTGTTTGTTTATTGATTTTTTTAACTTTTAAGTTCACCAATACTGTATGCATTGAGTCTAGTGCACGAAAATGTTCTTCATTTGTTGACGGAAGGCTTGAAAAAAATGTCCGTAGAGAATTCACAGATTGAAGAGCTTCCTGGGATGACAATAAGGACTGCAATGGACCTGTATTATCATTATCATCATCAATATCATCATCATCTTCATCATTGTTTCCTATCTCATCAGTAATTTCAGAGAGAATATCTTCATCAGTAACTCCTGCGAAAACCATAAGATCATCATCTACTGTTAAATAGTCTTCTATACTAATTCCAAACTTTTTACCGCTTGTTTCCTCAAGTTGGGATACGGATTTTTTGATGTGCAAAACACATTCTTGATCATCTGAGAGATCATTGTCTATGGAATTTTCATCATTATCAGATTTCTTATCTTCCATAACACAAAGACCACCGGCCTTTTTCCAGCAATTCCGAATGGTTTTTTCTGTTACTTCCCACCAACTTCCAGCAATATTGTCACACGCTTCCTTGACATTTACAGCTTTGAAAGGGTCTTCTACTTTATTTTCAAAGTTTACAAGTATGGAGTCCACCAACCGTTTTCTGTAATATCCTTTGAAGCACTTAATTATGCCCATATCAAGAGGCTGTAAAATTGAAGTGCAATTGGCAGGGAAAAAAGCGATTTCGATATTTTGTAGCTTTAGAAATGATGTGTGAGCACCGCAGTTATCTATCAACAAAACGATTTTTTCTTTCTCTTCTTCATTTCATTGTCTAACTTCTGTAACCATTCGGAAAAAAATTTAGACGTCATCCAAACCTTATTTGCTTTATACTCCACAGGAAGACTTTTCACGTTTTTAAAGCACCTTGGCTTAATGATTTACCAATGACGAGAGGTTTTATTTTATGCGTTCCTGTGCTATTTGTACACAGAAGAACAGTCAGTCTCTGCTTTGATTTCTTCCCTCCCTAACACTTTTCACCCTTGAATGCCAATGTTCGATCGGGTAGGAGTTGGAAAAACAGCCCAGCTTCATCTGCATTATAAATGTCTTCTGGAACATACTTTTCTAAGATTTCTTTCATCTTGTTTTGCCGCCATTCATTTGCGTCGTTTATCGGGGCTGACTTTTTTCTCTCCGTGAACTTCTTGGAAAGTTATTCCATGACGATCTCGAAAACGCATTAACCAACCATTGCTAGCTTTGAAAGTTTCGTTCCCTAGCATTGCTGCAAATTTCCGTGCTTTTGCACATAATAAAGGTCCATTTATTGGGACATTTGTTGCTCTCATCTCTTGAAACCATTTTAAAACAGCAGCATCAATGTTTTCATTTGTCGCAACTTTCAGTTGTTTTCACTGTGGGTTAATTTCATTTGAAGTTACAGCATCTTCGATTTGCTTTCTCTTCGATTTAGGAACTTTGCAAACCGCCTCCATCTCCCCCTGTTCCTCTAACAAAGGGCACTTGTTCTGTGACAAGGTGACCAGACAGGTCTAGATGTCCTTAAACCTTATCAGAATTCCAAAGCTTACTGGGAAATGAGACTAGGCATACATTTACACTTCACCCCCCCCTCACCCACTCCAATTCCCAAAAGGGTGGTCTTCATCTGTTTTGAAATCTGAACAATAGCTATTTATTCAGGGATAAGTTGAATATCCACAATGAGTCTTAATAGACGGAAAAAATAACAAAAGAAAACGAAAAAAATCAAAATATTATTATAAAGGGAGAAAATAATACTGAAATTTAGATTGAAAAAATCGTTTTACAGAGGTTTATTGTTCTAGAGAATATAGCAATATTGAGGGGAGATTAACATTAGTTTATATGCAAAATCACCGTGACCACAAAACATTATTGTAGTAGAGGGATTTATTGTTGTATCGGGTATCGTTGTAGCGAGAGTTTACTGTACATGAAACTGAGACAAGATTTAGCGAGTTCATTCTGGTTTATTTCAAAGTAATCTGTATCTGTTTGCAATAGAGCAAATAATTTCAGTAGTTTATTGATCCTTGTGGTAAAATCTACTGTTCTTACTTGCCCACAAAATTAAATATGTTCCAAGTGAAAAAAAAAATTCCCAATAAATGTGTACCCAAAGGGTTAAATATTAGTAACCAAATACCATTCATGTTATTGGTATTTTATGATGTTACTGGTATTCAGTATACTTATGGATTACAGACTTCAGCTGTAACTGTACTGTGAAGTGGTGAATGTGTTGATGAGGAGAAATTCAACAGAAACGTCTCTCCATAAGCAAAAAATAGATTTTATAAAATGTAGGTCAAAAGATTACATTTTGTACTTTTTAAATTGAGAATAACTGGTTTTTTTTTTTTTTTTTTTTTTTTTTTTTTTTTTTTTTTTTTTAAATTCACATAAGCCTAGGACCTGTGGCAGGGCTAGTGCAGCTGCACCAGGCAGCAAAATTTAAGGGAAGCAAAAATTTTAGAATTTAGAGAAGCACCAAGTAGCAAACTTAAGAGATGGAAAATCTAGTATTTAAAGAAGGGACTGGGATATGAAATTTTTAGAATTTAGGGAAGCTCTTGTTGCAGAATTTAAGACACGCAGAGATTGCATCAGGCTCCAAAATATCTACCAATGGCCTTAAGTGTATGTGGTAATATATTCATTTGGGACTTGGATAAACCTTAAGTATGCACCAGAAAAAAAGCATAAGTGTAATAAATAATATAATTCAGGCTAAACTTTGTCAGCGTGAGATAGAAGCAAGCTAAAACTTACCAGAACAAATATATCTTTAGTCATCAATCTCATGGTATATCTTCAATAGTGTATAGCAGATACTAGCTAATGATAGGTGCAAAATTGAAGTTTTCAAATATTGCTATCAAAAAGCAAAATTTTCCAATTATTTAAATATGGGGAGACAGGGTAATAAATGAAGATGATATATCAGAAGTTTTTCATTGTGATGACAGTGCCTTAATCGTCAGTGAACTAACGTACAGGGAGATCTGTAGCATGGTTATAAATCCAGAAAGTATTGCTGCCAACAGTGAAGAAAGTCAGGGAGAAGTAGTTAAGAATGAAAACTTTCGATTGACAAGTTAGTGGGAATTCTTGACAGAGCAATTAACAGAACTTGACCTGTATAACTGAGAAAGAAATATAGAATTAAAGAGAAAGTATTAAGAAAGGGAAGTAACCAACTTAAACAACTTACATTGAAAGAAATTTTTAATAAAACAAATATTGAGCTGCCATTCTTTTTTTGTAACATGAATGCTTCATTATTTCATATATTATATATATTTATTATATAAATTATATAATTCATTATTAATTCATTATTTCATATTATATATATGAAATAATGAATTAATAATGAATTATATAATAAATTATATATTATATATTCATTTTTTAAATTTACAATTTCTACATGTCATCTTACTGGATTTAAACTGATGATCTAATATCTGAAAAAATCCTAAATATCAGGAACTGTCATCCCCAAGAATCTGGATCTGTTTGTTTACTGTGTGACCATATGATACAAATTCGGACATCATGGTGGTTGCCAAAAGGAACCTGATACAAATCCATGTGCCAACCAACATCACCATGATCTTTGACTGATTAATTGCTGTGTTTTTTTAACAAAGATACTCTTTCCCCCATTAACTAGATGATTGCATTGTCACTCTTCAGCATTATACCCATAAATTTGAATAGTTTCAAATATTCATTGCATATTTAAAACCAATTAACTCGCATTTCTCAATGTGCATTTATTAAATCAAATATCAGAGAATGAACTTAAGAAAGAAATAATATTTTTGTTGTATTTTCTAATAAAAATTTGTGTTATTTCCTTTGATTTTCTCTGTATGTAATGTGAATTTGGCCCCGACCTAAGGTTGTGGCCAGTAGATAGTAGATGGATTTACCTCTGAGTAATATATTACGTTTGTTACCTTTAGGCTAACTTAAGTCGGAAGTTGCTCAGCAGGTCAGTGTTGTGTGTAATGTGAATATACACGGTATGCTTAAAAAAAGATAAATTTTTTTCTGTAAAATGTCTGCTGTTCATTTTACATTATTTGAAGCACTGTTTTCACAAAAGTAGTTCACTGTACTGACAATACACCTTTCGTAACATTTCTTCCATTTTTGGAAAACCTTCTAGAATGCTCTTTCTGGGTGGCATGTAGATCTCTTGTCGCATTGTCCTGAAGGTCCAGTTTGGTTTGGAAATGATGTTCTTTCAAAGTGATTTTAAGTTTGAAGTACAAGAAAAAGTCTGCTGTGGTTAGGTCCAGAGAATAGGATTATGGATAAGGCACAGCAGGAGTCTAAATGTTTTGCCAGATTATTGCAGTTGAGCAAAGCATGAGCTAATGCGTTGTCATAGTGCACCATCCAAGTTTGGTTTCACCACAATTCATTCCTCTTCCTGTGCAATGTAACCTTTAAAGGCACTGAAATTTCCTGGTAGAGCTGTTTGTTTACTGTGTGACCATCTGATACAAATCCATGGTGGACATCATGGTGGTTGTCAAAAGTGACCTGATACAAATCCATGCACCAACCAGCATCACCATGATCTTTGACTAATTAATCGCTGTGTTATTTGAACCAAGATACCCTTTCTCCTATTAACTAGATGAGTGCATCGTCACTTGAGCATCATACCCAAAAACCCATGTCTCATATCCTGTTATAATGTTTTTAAGCAAGTTTTCATTGCTGTGTCAAGCAGTTCCTGATTGATTTAATGTCAACAAATGTGGCATAAGTTTTGCACTGGCACAATGTACCTGAAGTTTTTCATTTGATTTGATGGCATGATCCTATGCTGATGCCTAATTTGTTAGCAACTTCTCAAACAGTTAAATGATGATTTCCATGAATTACATTATGAATACTCTCAACATGGTTGTCATTTGTTATGGAAGGTTATTGTCCAGGCTTGGGATTCTAACCAACCAAAATTCTGCCCTTTTCAAAATACTTAACCCCTCATAGGCGGAACATGTACTGTCCTCCACATATGCTTCATTATGCAGTTGAAATATTTGTTGAAAATTTTCACGCACACATTGTTCTTCAAACGTTTTCATTGTCATCCAGTCTCTAATCCAACAAACATGTTTATTTCAGCCACTGTAGGTTGCCGATTAATGGTCCTAGCAAAGCAAGGCAAATGCCAGTTCTGTTGTTTAAGCATGCCACTACATGCTGTCAGTAGCCGCAGCACATACCATACTCTGTACTGGTTGATGCACAATTTCAAAAGTTTCACCTGTTTTGGATCACACTGCCATTCTTTCTCAAAAAGTTTTCCACAAATCTCTTTGCTGAAGCAAATAATTCTCTTGTGCTTTGTTCTAATTGATTAAATAACAGTTATTTCATTACTGAAAAACTTGTTAAAAACAGTTATTTTCATTGCTGAGAGAACTTGAACTACAGTTATTTTGTAACTGAAAAAATGATACATTGAATAGATTTGTCTGTAGCTCTGCTGATACACCACCAACAGTATTTTGGTGCTTTTTTGACTATTAAATATATTTTCAAATAGGATTTTTTTTCAATGGATGTTCTGTGATAACTACTTTTAAAATTTACATGAAGTTGTTATTCTCAGCAACTTGTCTCTGCCTTCATATGAATTGTATTAAACAAGAACATCTCTGCCTTCATATGAATTGTATTAAACAAGAACATAAGTGCCTTCTCTTAAACCAGTTCTCAACTCTTATTTAACATTTTATCAGCCCTTGTTGAAATTATATTTCCACTGAATATCTTCCGTCATGTACAATTTCTTTGCATGAGAATTAAATGCCTGAATATAATGCATTGCTTACATTTCATTTCTCAGAAAATGTAGTAAAAATTAGCAGAGACAAACTTTTTTCGTATCAGAAAAGGATTAAAAAAATGCAAATATGTATTTGCTGTAATTGATCTGAAGTTGATACTGAAATAAAAAAGAAGCCATTCCCACCCTTTCTTAGTCTCTTAGGAAAGAGAAGGAATAAAAGATCTTATCTTTTTAGAAGAATCTCGGACAGCATCTAGGCTTTCTGAAGGAGTCGGTGTCAGAGGTGGCAATGTATTTGTATATACTAGCTAATACATTAGTACCAGAATACTAGTACTTTATTGTACTAATAATTTCTATATAAAATGTAAATGCATTAAAATACTTTTTAATTTGTTAGGATGCTGAATCAGCAGCTGAAACAAGCAGTGAAAGTTCTGATAAAGAAGCACACTTCAGATCAGAAGCAAGGCATCATGGTAAATTGCATGTTTGTTAAATTTTTTAATCAAGCATTACCCCTGTAGTTTTTTGTTATTATTGTAGGAATTTAAAATATGAAGGTAAAAATTAATATGACAAAAGCTGTTAATTACTTTAGTCAGCAGCATCAGAATTGAATGTCGTCGTCTTCTTCTCTCTCTCTCTCTCTTTTTTTTTTTTTTCTCTCTCTCTCATTTTCAATTTTAATTTTGAGACATCTTTGAAGGGTGTTGAACAATCAGCTTTGAGGACTTAAAATATTTTAAAATGTTGTGGCAATTCGATGTTTAAGGTAACCTGATATCTTGGCACTTCCTCAGTAATAAAGTAATGTCTTCACTGTCTAGTAACTTTCTTTCATAATGTATATCATAGTATAAAAACAAAATTATTTTTAATGAACACAGTTTTGCAGGTAAATACTTGTAAGTTTTATTATTATTATTTTACTCAGAAGCTAATATCTGTAAATATTTATATTTATTAATTATCAAATATTTAAAATTTAAATGGTTAAATGAATTTGTGATCAGCTATTGGAAATAAAAAAAAAAAAAAAATTGATTGAATTGAAAGTTGCTTTTCCGAGGAAGAAAAATTAACTTTTCCCTTTGAGAGGAAGGAAGAAGGTTGAAAATTTTGAAGATCCTATTGACATATGTTTAGATGAAAACATGACTGCATATATGATATTGACTGCATTGTATTATTTTAAAGGATAAATGGAAACAATACAGGAGTGACATTTATTATATATAATTCTTATAAATTCTTATTATAGTATTTTTTATGTAAAACAGTCCTTTTTTTCAAGGTACACCAGCGGCCGAGTGATAAAGTCGCTGAACACTGGTTGGTAGTTTGGTCCGAGGTTCGAATTCCGCAAACGGGCTAGCTGCATGGGCATTTTTCTGGTTTTCCCCTTGTGTAACGTGTATACGAGCCAGTTTCCCTTAGAAAGTCCTCGACGAAGGCATCCCTTCCCATAGGCAGATAGCCCTAGTGTGCTTTGTCATAATTAAATAAACCAAACCAAACCTTTTCCCCAAAATTTGATATTACTTTTAATGGGTAAGTCAATCCCGAATGGCCAAATTGTTAGGACAGTCAGATTGAATCATTTTTTTTGCTCTAGTAAGGGGTATGGTAATGTAAAAATGTAAAAGTATGGTAAAAAATAATTCAGTTTTCTATTCAAGTTAAATGGTAGTAGCTAGGTCAAGGTTTTTGATACTGTGTAATTTTTAAACCAAGAAAGTAAGTTATAAGCATTTGTATAGAACCATCTCCAATGCAATGTTATTAACTTAAAAAAATTGAATAAATAAAGCACTAAAAAACTTAAAAACTTTAAAATGTGAAGTATAAGTGAAGCCCCCCTCAAAAAAATAGAATTTGATTAAATATGTAAGTACTTAAAATCAAATATGTCAAAGTGGACAACCGAAAAATTCTTAATTGCAAAGCATATGAGATTTACTTCAATTAGTCAGATAAATAAATTGTAATAAAATTCTAATTATTTCATTGCATATTGTAGCAATTGCATAAAAGAGTGTAATTGCCTGTATTTAATTTGATAATTTTCTTATGCTTGGTCAGGGAAATTAAAAATTGAATCTTAGTTTGAATTCTTCTAATCATGTTCTTTTTGTAATGAAAATATGTTTATTGCTCTTTTATCTCTCTCAAATAATACATATTTTTAACTTTTTTTTTTCTTTTTTTTCTTTTGCCAAAGTACATAAAGGGTCTGTGTAAACTGAAGAAGAAAATTAAAAAAAAAAAATAATAATAATAATAAATAATAATATAAAACTTTTCTAATGTCTGAGAAAAATGAAGAGAGCTTTTTGAATTTTAAATTGATCAGAGATTTCCCATTAACCTCATTTATTATTTATTGAAATACATTTTTATAATTTTAAATTTGTAATAGGTAGTAATAGCAAACTCTGAAATCAGAAATTTTTCTGAAGTTAATAAAAGTTAATATTTTTGAAATACAAGCTGTAATGTAAATTAAATTTGACACTTTTATAGTAAAAGTATAACTATACATAGAAGATTTTGGTTAAATATTAACATTCATTGTAATAAGAATAATATGTGAAGATATACATGTACCTGAACTAAATAACACTTGTAAAAATAGAGCTCTTTGTAAAATATCCCGTTTATTTAATTTGACATAATTTATTAGTTCTAAAAGATCACATCTTATCTCTATTTTTATTATCTTTGTGGAAAAGGGGGGATTTGATAAAATGGTAAAGTCAATAATTGATTTTACTAAAAATGTTAATTTTGGTAACATATAAATGACAGAAAAATAAATTATGTAAACTGGTTAATGCATAATTAATATTTTAGTAGAAAGTAATATTGGAGTTCTGCTTGCTTCCACTTGTATGTGTAAGTTGTAATGTATTTTTAAGCTTGCTGTCTATGATTTATGTATTAAATTTCTATTATTAATTATGTTATTAATTGCAGATTTGGGAATGGAAAGGAGAACCGATTCTGAAAATTTTACCCGCTCATCTAAAGGTTAATTTTTTTATTTAATTTTACATCTTAAAGTCTACAGTACAAAGTCCCTCTTTTTTTTTTTTTTTTTTGTGTGTGTGTGTGTGTGTGTGTGTGTGTGCATGCAGGGTTTACGCATGCGTATTTGATTCTCCCCTCCGGGCATGGAGAGTCCCTATTCTTAATTTCACTTCGATACTGAATAAAATACCTTGTTATTGAAGAAACAATCATTTTAAAATAAATTTGTATGATCAGTAATTTGGCTCCATTGCTGCATATCTGCTTTGCACACATCTCAAACCGAAACATTCCACATAGATACATCGTTGATCTGTTGCCAACCTGGCGAATCATTATTTATTATACTTTCCTTTCATCATCGCATGTTTATCAACACGTGACAACTTGAGTACTGACTCCCGCCTAAACAATTTTTTATGCTAGTAATTGAATAATAAAGGAGTATGGTAACCTTTTATGTTGACATTACGCTTGGCGATGATTACAGATTTAAGTTAAGTGTACTAAAAAATTTTGACGAGGAAAAATTTCTTTCCATATTTTAAAAATAGATTTTCTTGATGATACACATAGACCCAAAGATTACATTTAGGGCTATTTGAATTAAGAATAACTCATTTGTTATTCACATAAACCCAAAACCAGCACCAGAGCTTGTATGGCCGCACCAGGTCGCAGAATTTAGGAGCAAGTGCCGGTCCTCAATAAGCCTTAAATATATGTGGAAATTTATTTATTCAGAACTCTCATAAGCCTTAAGGATGTGCAAGAAATAGACATAAGTATATTAATAACTAAACTAATATAATTCAGGCTTAATTGTCTCTGTGTGATAGAAGCAAGATAACATTTAACAGAACAACTTGTTGTTAAGCATCAAGCTCATGATGCATAGCCAAATATGTATAGTGAACGATAGCTAAATTTGATGATGATAGCCGCGAATTGTAAAGGTTTTCGGATATTGCAAAGCAAAGGTGAAATTTTCCAATTAATGCATTTTGTAAAGAAATGTGGAGAAGCAAAATGAAGATGATATGAAAAGTTTTCCATAGTGATGACAACGCTTCTCAATCATCAATCAGTTAATGAATGGCAAAATCTGTAGTATGGTTCTAGATGCAGAAAATACTGCTACCATTAGTGAAGAAAGTGACATGAAAGAGAAGTTACTGAAAACGAAAAAATTTCAATTGACAAATTAGACGGAATTCTCGACACAACAGTTACAGAACTTCAGCAGTGTAACTGAACAAGAGATTATGTCTGTTTACAGAATTAAAGAGAAAGTAATAGCGCAAAAAACGGAGCAACTTAGATAACTTGCATTGAAAGAAATGTTTACAAAACAAATAAATATTGAGCCTTTTTTTTTTTTTTTTTTTGTGGTGTGTGTGTGTGAATTTTGATACCCTTTAGATCATAATTACTTCATTATTTCATAAATCATAATTTCATATTTTTGATTTTATAACTTCTACATGCCATCTTACTAGATTTAAACTGATGATCTAATATCCGGAAAAATCCCAAAACAGGAATCGCTGAAGTCTCGACAAGTCCGGATTTCGGACTTTGTACTGTATATAAAAATGAAATAATTATTAAAATTGCTTCCTTTTATTCCTAAAGTAACAGTTTTTAACTTATTGATCTTTATTTTTTGGAACTTGAGTAATTTACAGAAAAAAAAGTAATATTGTTGTATCCATAGATAATGGAATCAGAATGTAGAGCAATTGTGTGTGTATGCATGTATGTATTATGTACATTATGTAATTATGCATGATAATTTGATTTGAAAATTAGTGGTAATGGCAATTTTTAATTTAAAAAAATTTCTTTTTTCGTCATTTTGTATGCATGAAAGGCCTTTTTATCAAGCTAGTTAATGGCTAAAACTCTAAAATAATTGAATCCACCATTTGCAAAGTGGTAAATATCATTGAACATTGGCAGTTCTGCTCAGATATAAATTTTAGCAAATGGGCTGGTTGCATAGGAGTTTTTTTAATTTTCCCTTTGTATAATGTCAATATAAACCACTTTCCTTAAAAGGTCTTTCAGGTAGGTTATTCCTTTTTTTTCTTAAGGCCCATCTACTTGAGGCAACAAAGTTATTCTGCAACACAGGAAAATCTGCCTCATAGACTTATCATCTGACAGCATTTTGTCTACATAAGCCAATTTTGTTTTTAAGTTGTTCTGGGTTACTAAGCCAGTCAGAGAAGTCACAGCAGATGATAAGATTTGCATCTAATAGGAGACTTTCACAAGTCTAATGACAAACGTAATAATTGGTGAAGATTACAATGCCTTTATTTTTCAGGGCTTTATTTAAAAAATAAATTGTAATAATAAGCAGAATGCTTAATAGGTGACTGAAAGTAGAAAAGGTTAAAAATACCAATAAAAATAGCAAAATACGAAATACGCAGAAAAATTAATGAAGTGGGGAAACAAAAATAATTGATTATTAAAGTTAATGCTTATAAATAAATATGCATGTATTTGATCATTCATTCACATAAAAGAAAAGAAAAATAAATTGATTACCTCATATATAGCTTAAAATATAACATACACGGCTGATAATTAGATTTCTAATGTAATTTACATTTTAATTTCATGAAAGGGGGAAAGAATATCACTTTGTAAATAAATAAAATAAAATTCTAATTAATACAAAATTATCATATAAATGAATAGATAAAAAATTGCTGTATTTTCAATCACTAATAAAATAAGGCAAAATTATTGTATGTTTCATGTAACAGTTTTAATAATTTTTATATTAACAGAAAACTGTAAATTACAAGCACAACAAAACATTTGTTTTCAGTGGAAAAATCAGAAAATAGCTTAGCTGGATTGAAGCTCGCAATCTGATCATCCATGCAAAATTTAGTACTTTGGTAAATAAATGGTAAATCCATTTAAAAGTTGAAAAATCATTAACAATAGGAATTTAGAAATATGATCAGATGCAAACAGGCTATAATTAATTTTTTTCATTGCCAGGCTTCCTAGAACTTAAGAATATAGCAATCTCCTTAAAGAGAAAAAATATTGTAATAGATTTAGTGAACAACAAATACAAACAAGTGAGGTAATAAAAAAATACAGTGCTGGATAGCTTATAATAACAAATCACTGGTATCAAGACGGGAAAAAAAAATATTCTGTTATTAATAAAAAAGATTTGGAAGTTGTGATCCGAAATAAATGTCAAAATGAGGGGATTTGTTAAGTTTGTTAAAATAAAAACAAAATCTTTTAACCTTGCGTTGCGTGGAGTAAGTTATTTATTTTAGTAAGTAAACCCTTATTCAGTAGCAACCATTGCTTTTTAGACATGTGATTTCTATATGTCATTTCATTGGCTATCACAAAATAAGTCTCCAGCAGTATGATATCTTATTATGATTGGATCATGACTCCTGATGCAGGTGCCAAAGACGCATATGATGCACCAACAGTATGTGTCATGGCATACATGAAAAGATGTAGGTGGCACAGATGTTGAGGGATAATGTTTGTATGTATGTCTCCTGTAAACGGACCTTTAGACTGGTAAACCCGTATGTTTGGGCACAAACCAACCCAACTAATTTTATACAATCCAAATTTTTTTGCAATTAGTACATGAAAGTTCCCTTTATGTCATTAGGCTTGCTAATTGTCATTTTTACAAAAGCATGTTTTATTAATTTATAAGATTCTAATTATTATAATTAATTTTGCTAATCATTAAAATTTCTTCTCTCTCTTTTTTTTTAAACTAGTTGAAAGAGATCTTTTTTGACCACATTTTTATAGTTAAGGGAAAGAAGCAAATTTATTGTCAGTTGTTTAATTTCAGGACAGATTTATAAATTTTAGTCTCTATAAAAAAGGGGTAGAAAATGCTTGAAGCTAATTATCTTGTCATATTCCAAGCTTTCTATGTCAACCACAGCAGCAGCATTTGACACTGAAACAGATAGACATAAAAAGTGTAGATGTTAATGACCTGCCTGCCTGTCTGTTGAATTCGGGTATGAAGGGATAGTAGATGAAACACTCCATTTATTTTTTTACTTTAAGATCTTAAATATATTCCATCAATTTAATCATAAAAAATTAGCCTAACACAACCATCTTTTATCATTGTCGTTGGCTTTCGTTAGAAGACATTCTTAGCAGCATTCTGATTTTGGCTATATGAATTTACAATGTACATATACTACTTCCTTTTTATATAAATAAAATAGCTACTCCACATCATCCTGCAAAGAAAATTTCATTCTAATAGAATAAGAAATGCATCATTGGACTATAGCAGAATGATACAATAACTGGAACCTTACTGTAAGGTCGGAAGTGGGAGGAAAAGTAGGATTTTTATGCATAAAATGTCTCTGTTATACCAAAATATTTTGTAAAAGTATAGTAGTATATGCAATGTCACATGTATTCTTTTTGAAATGGTGCTGGAAATTCTAGTATAGTTCCAGATACTTAACTGAAACTGTTGGGTGTTTTGGAACCACTATTTGCATCAATAATGGCTTGCTGCTAACGCAGATAGTGGTTTTACATGGTTCATGATCAAGGAGCAGATTTCCACTATTAGGAAACTGATTATTTATCTGAACATTCAGACAAGTCTTTGCAGAGGCTTGGTGATTATGTTGAAAAATACTGTGATGCATGTGTGTCATACTATATTGCAGCACACTTCTCATCAAAATTTTCTTGATGTATATTAATGTAAATTTTTTAATTCTCTTTATATTTGGTATGTTTCGATATCTTGTTTTCCGAGTCTGTTACTATTGTAATATCAGGTTTTAACGAAAGTTTCCCGCCACCGCAAATATCCTCTGTGCAAACATTTCATGTTGGCATGTTTAATCATATCTTGTCAAATGATTTTTGGCATTTGAAAGAAAGAGACTTGCTTTAGCATACTGTGCTGTGAAATTTTAAAAAATATCATTAAGTACAAGATGTCTGAAATGGAACTATCATGCTACCAGATTAGAACCATTTATTTCCAGGTTTGTTTCAAAAAGTCAGCTACAGAATTTCACCAAATTGTGTGTGCAGCTTTAGGTACTGAAATTGTATCATATGATACTGTGAAGGTTTGGTACTGAAAGTTTAAAAACAAGGACTATGACATTCAAAAAGCAGAGTGCTCTGGCTGGCTTACTGATGTTGATGAGACCCACCTGTTCAAACTTGTGGAAGAAGATCAGTATGCAACTATCCGAGAGCTTGCTAAGGAGTTAGACGTTAGTGCCATGCCCATTAGTCTCACTATACATCGCATAAACTTGATGTATAAGTTCAATGAATAAGTGCTGCATGAACTGATTCAAGCAGATAAGGACAGATGTGGCCTTATCTGCTTGGACAGATAAGGACAGATATGGACAGATAAGGACAGATCGGGCCTGCACTAATCTACCCAATTATCAGGGCAAGAACAAAATTATGGACCAGATAGTCCCTTGTGATGAAGAGGGGATTTATTTTAACAACACAGACCGAAAAAGGGGTTGGTCTGTGCCCGGTGAGCCCGCCTGCAGCATCACAGAGCAAAGTTTGACTGACAAAAAAATCATGCTTTGTATCTGGTGGGATTGCCATGGTATTATTCACAAAGAGTATTTGGGAAAAGCTAAAATTCTCGTCAGTAAGGTATACAGCAAGATGCTAGTCCATGTTGATGCTGCTTTCAAAGAAAAACATCGATATGAGTTCCGGCATAAAAGGTAATGTTCCATCAAGATAATGCAAGATCACATGTGTCTGCATTCACTGGCGGAACTCTGTATGGACTTGAATGGGATCTTTTACCACACCCACTATGCAGCTCCAACGTTGCTCCTTCGAACTTCTACCTTTTTTCACACCTGTAGTTACATCTTGCTGGTGTTATCTTTCATTCTGTACAGGAGTCCAAAATGAGGTTGATCTGTTTTTAGTTTCACGGCCACCAAATTTTTGGGTTGAAGGCTTTGAAAAACTACCAAAACGTTGGCAGAAAATCATAGATTTGGATGGTGATTACTATCCACACTAAAGGTGTTTTTTCCCTAACTTTATTAAGAACTTTTCTTGGCAGAAAACTTTCATTACAACCAACTATTTTTCCTTCACAAGTTAAGGATGTGTATGTTATTCCAATAAGGATGTAGATGTATATGTTATTCCAATTTGATTTATGACAGTTTCATATGAAAGCTATATTAAATAGTGAGGAAAACGTGCATATGTGCATGAAAAAAATTTTCTTTACATATTTAATCACACATTTTGCATCATATGAAATCTCTTTTATCAAAACATAAAATTCTGGGAATTATTTTAGGTTATGATGAAGGTCCAGAAACACTTGTACAAACAGTTCCAACCGCTTTAGCTGAATCTTTCACTCAAAATATGGTCAACGGGCAGCTATCAGATACTAGTTTTCATGAAGAAGACAGATCTGAGCCTACTGTTGCTACTCTATCCAGTGAAGCTACAGCTGAAATGGAAATCTCTTCACTGGAAGATAAGTCTCAAACAGAAACCCATGTGGAAAAAAAAGGTAACTCTTTTATTATTATGCTGTGCTTGCAATCTTTGAATATGTGTAGCCTTTTAATTTGTATGCTAAACTCGAAGGGTCATGTAGTTCTTATTTGTGTATACAAAAGTGTGAATACTCACAATTTACATAGGCAGTATGAATAAAAAATATTCTTGTCTGCTGTGAATAACTTCTAGGGAAGGGGCTAAGAGACATGTGCTGGGTGAGACTTCAGCATTGATTTTGTTGTTTCCAGATTTCTAAGATTGTAACCATGCATCATATAATTTTTTAAATGCGATGTGAATTAATTATGGGTGCGTGAAACATGAGTATTAGTAATCTTCGTAACACAAACTTTAATGATATTTGTGTTCATATATTTTGCTTAATACAGAAGAATACGACCTTGATTATCATTGTTATTTCGTAAAAAATTAATAGCCTAGTACAATGTGCATGTTTCAACTTTGTATCTATGGAAAACTTTTATCTCTATTTCTACCACTTAATCTTGAAATGATTGTCATGTAATTTTAGTATATTAACTATATTAGAAAGAAAAAAAAAAGGTGGGGGCAATCTGAAATCTTTCATATCTTGTATTACACCCAAAGCGGCATTTTTTAACATTTTGTGTATTACCTTTATTTATTAAATATCATATTCTTCACACTTAAACTATAAAATTCAATTCAATACAAATATCACAAAATATTTAGAAGAGCACATCTTTTAGAATTCCCGATGCACAGTCTTGTGCACTGGAGATAAAAATGTCCCCCCCCCTGGTTTAGTGTTGCCATTGCTCATTTTGAAATCATAGAGTTTCTTAATCAAAAACTCATGTTTTACAAAATATGAAATAGATAATAAAACAAATTCTAAATTTGAGCTTCTAGTTGGCCATATTCGGTGGAGACGTATGTTATTCAAAATTTTATGGCTGTAGGTACCATTGTTTTATCACAATGCAAGAAACATACATACATTTATGCAAATTCTTTAATTTCTTTAAATATAATATGGGGCTCTAATATTTGGTGGCAACAATTTAAAAAGTGATTCACCATTTATAGTGAATCGATGCAAAATGCCAAAATGAAATTAGCCAGAAATGAATGAAATTAGCTGAAATTAGCCCTTCTAGCCAAATTGCCCCTTTGGGCTAAAAAGTGTTTTGAATATCATGTATTAATTTTTTTGCGCATGATGAATTGTAATTTAAATGTTTGAGATAACACAGTAAAATGTGACATTTTGTTTTATTATAGTGATAAAGATTAGATTATGGATTTGTAATATTGTGTACAGATTTTCTATCTTCCAGTAATGTAATGTTGACTATAGATTATTGTTTTTCACCATCCCAAAATGCTTAATAACAGTCCTACAAATTTATCTGTCATGTTTTCTTTTATGCAGTAGAACTTTGCAAATATACTCGGCAACTGGACATTAAATTCATCATTAAAAAATAAATTAGTAAATAAATCTAACTTCGTAATTTTCATAGTTTTATGTCCACTGTTTGAGTTGATTAATATGGATGATTCATTTCTTGAAAAGTGGTATTAATTATTTCTTCGGCTTTGAGTAATTGATTTCTATATGTTTAATACCTCTGAAGCTAGACTTTTGAATATATTCGGAAAATGGGTCTCTGAAGAATAAAAAAGAGATAGAAATTCTAGATTAGTAGATTTAATTAAGAGGGTTTCTGTTTCTAAAAAAGTATAGACTGTGATGTTGACAAGTTTATGAGGAAAAATATGAATGATGCACCTTACCAACGGTAATAAAATTGTTCTTTCAGTGGGAGAAAAAGAACTAGAGGATGAGGAAAAGAGAAATAGGGAAGGATTAAGAAAGTGATGCTCATTGAAGGACTAAATTCTATTGAGAAATTGTTTCATGCTATTAAGTGCTTTTGCAGTAGCTATTTTATTCTTCCATTGCTTATGTGATGAAGCTATTATAATAAATAATAACAATTATGAGAGGCAGTTAAATATCATCAAACTTTTGTCCAAAAACGGCACAGGTACTTTCTTGCAGGCATATAATATGTTGCCCTTTTCTTTTGCTGCATTGCAATTATTTCTTGCTGCGTAATATATTTTCTTTAACTCTTAAAGCTAAAAAATGTTAAATACATAATTTTATGTCAAGGTTTTCATAGTTGTGTGTAATTTTGTGCAGCAATGTGTTGTTGGGGTGCCTACTTCGGATTCTACGAAACTCTTGCTCTCTCATTAGTCCCATGCCCTGCTGGTACTAGACTATAGGGACAGGCTTATCAGGTTCTAATGTTTCCTTCTTACCTTCTTCGGAAACATACAAGGACCTGACTAGAACAGAGAGCTTACTTAGCTATGTTCACTAATTGTAGTAAGTAGACAGGATACAGACGAAGGGTATACAAAACCCTTTATTTTTCTTTATATACAATAACTTCCGTACTTCGGAATACAATGACCCTCCACTCGGGGTCTAACGTTAAAGATATCAAAATAAAACTAAACTCTAATTTAACTTTAGAATAAGATTGGCCTTATAATAACAGGAAGCGTATGTAGCACAGAGACTGTGAACACTACAATACGTTTAATTTATCAAGAGGATTAAAACCTCTGGCCTGGAAGGCAAATAGCAACTGCGTAACTTCTAAGGTAAGCGGCCTGCTTCGAACTCACGGCTTCCTCTCTCTCTGCTTGGCAAAAGGCCACACTTAAATACTTGGCGTTCGCCAGACAACTTTGCATAAAAACCTTCACGCTTATAATTCTGGCCGGAAGTAGAAAATAAGAAGTGATAGTAAAGATTTAAAATAAAATAAAATAACGTTAGTAAAACTTAAGATCCTTACATACTTCCCGCCAGAGTTAATTAGTTTGAAAACTGAGGTCTAAAACGACCTTGTTGAAAACTTTTAGCTCTAGAATCTAACGCGAGGCCAACCTTTTACAAACCATAACTTCTCTAGAAACTAGAAAATTTTAAAGAAAGAAATTTGTTACAATAGCAGCTCCCGGATATACAACAATCTTTTTTTTTTCATCTGTACTGCATCTAACCAGGAGCTTTTATTCAATTCTGGTTCCTTCCAGAGATCTGGAAGGAAAAACTAGTTTAATGAAATGTTACACAATGACATTGGCAAATAACATATAGAATATACTTGCTCTTAACATTCTTATTTCATTCATGACTATTTTAATTATCTCTCCCCGTGCTCTCTGACATGTGTTGTAAAAAACACCAAACACGAATGTGTTTCTGTCTACGTGTGCCAACACTTCCTCCTACAATCAAAACACTAACGTGTTAAAATTCAACATACGAGACCTCTTAACACACCCCTAATTTCAACTCTAAACCCTGAGGTACTATTCTGAAAAGTGGCTAACTCTAAAGTGTAGCGTCAGAGAGCCTAACTACATCATTCAACCTTTACACATATTCAGCCATGATTTAATCTTTACAGTCACACGAATAACAAATTTTTAACATTACTTTCACTTTTACCATATCACGGTATTTCTAAACATTTAAAATAACAGTTCACATGTATACAAGAACATATCAAGACATGCCGTTAATTTTACACATTTGAAAACATACATTAGTAGTACATGTTAACTTCTATTCTTTTCAAAGCAAGTGCCAATTCTTTCTACATTGAAATAATACTACATTTCAAAAGTCTTTCAGACTAAAACTTCTTTCTTGTTAGAATGTTTTAAATAAAATTTATACAATAACTTTTTAAGTCTTTACACAACGCTATTCTACATCAACTTTAGTTTTACGCGCAAGTAATTGAAAACATAATAAGAAAATCGGTCACACTCATTTCTCGCCCTTTTGGCGATAAAGGTAGACCTCGCATGATGTAAAACTTCTTGAAATCTGCCACTTGCAGTAAGAATGAAAGATTAACTTAAGTTTGCAAAGTAACATAAAATTTTACTTATCTTTGTAATATTCGGACATCCTTTTCTGGGCCCAGTCTTTAAAGGTGCTGCAGACAGTAGCCTGGTTTATCCTCCTTCTTGTACGGGCTCGCCCTTCAGTGCTTTCCTCTGGAAGCTTCCGTTTTTCACCAGTACGGCCACCCTTGAACACCTTCCTTTTCTCCTCTGCTTGTGGTCTTGGCCGTTTGAAGGCAGCTGGTCTTGGGGGAACCGGGAAACTTCTGTCGTGATCCTGCTTGGACCTCGTTGTTGGCCGTTCAAATTTTTCTTGTACTTTTCCTCCGCCACTGATGGCCCTTCCGCAGTTCGGCGACTTTTGCTGCGGAGAGTTCTGTCGGATGAGTCGATCTTCCGTTTTAAAGCCGGGTTATAGTTGCCGTCCTTTCTCCTGGTCTTTTTCATATACGTCGTCCTTCTCCCTTCTTCATTCTGGGGGTGTTCGTGAACTCTGTTTTCTGGACGGTGGAACGGCTTCTTTTTCTTTTTACCTTCAATTTTTCCGCGGGGCAATTTTCTTTTCACTTGCTTCTGTCTCTCATTGGCTTGCCCTTGTACTTGTCGTTTTCCCACCTCTGGAACTTGTACCTGCGGTGTCTGCCGTGCCGGATCCTGCAAAAGATCTGAAAAGATTTGCATTTTTATTACGATCGATAGTAGGGCTTGATTTGATCAATATTTGCGGAACAGGTTTCACCATTTCTGGCCTTTAACACTACAACAGCGTGAGTTATTTTTCTATAACATATGGTCCTTCAAATCGTGGAAAAATTTGGCAGTTTTATCTTCTGGTGCTGAAGAAAGTGAATGCTTAATTTTTAAAACTTCATCCCCTACTTTATAAGTTACTCCCCGTCGTTTCAATCATAATAGAGCTTCTGTTTTCTTGTGCTACTTCCGTATTCTTTTTTGCTTCTTTTAATTAGTTTTTCTATATCACCCATTTTAAATTCTGGGGCTCTTTGTTGCACATAAAATAATTTATCTAACGGTGTTATAATCTTTCTGCCTAGAAATAACTCAGCAGGAGTTTTGCCCGTTGTA